ATATATATATATATATATATATATATATATATGATTTATAGTCAGTAACATGGAATAGCGTGGCTTATGTTGAGAACTGATCAATGCGAAGCACACAAAGAGAGGAGCCCTGCAACTCCGAACGGGGAATTTCATCATGTATTACGCAATGTTGAGGTAGCATCTGTAATAATTTTTCATCTGCTCGATAGGTGGCAGAATAAACAAGCACTATTTTCGATATAGAGCTGAGGGCTACTTTCCGGACAATCGGGCGGATGGTCGAGCGCGACGGAATTCGCGCGTTTATCCGCACACAAACTGCTTCATAATCTGATGCATTTATTTAGAACACACCTGTGGCTGTAGACGTCGACATCGTCCCCGGCCTACCTTAAATCGCATATTCACATATCTGTTCGTATCGTTCCTTCTATTATCGCTTGACAACAGAATCCACTTGGACTTATTCGCTATCACACACACATCTCCAGAATTTACTGTGATAACGAACGATGATCTTATCGAGAATAATATGTGCTATGATCTTGTATATCGGAAATCGAGAAAGAAGAGTGGAGAGAGGCTATATCAAACCATTTTGTACAATTAAGAATCTAAAAGTAGCTTTAAGAATTCGCGAGACAAGAGAGACGAGAGAAGGAAAGAAAAATAGAAAAGGGAAGACAATGCGATGATCAGGCAGAGAGTAGCATGCACTTTTTTTAGCATAGCGGATTCAAAAAGGGACCGTTCTTACAAATCACTATGTATCACGTTGGAATGTATTGTGTACCTGCTGGCGGTAGGCACGAATGTGTAACGTCATGTTAAATGTCACGACATTTCATTGACACGGGACAACGTTTCGTTATCGTAAGCGATATCGTTTTCCCGCTCTCCTCTACGTTTAAAATATTAATATTTATTATTTATTCCGTACTCACATGTCTCGAGAGAGAGAGAAAGAGAGAGGAAGAGAGAGAGGAAAAAGAGCTAGTTTCTTGATAGAGGGTCTCTGACAACACACACACACACACACACCTTGCGCTGAGTCTCGATGCTGTGGTATTATACGTACGTTTTAATATGCAAGAGAGAGAGAGAGAGAGGGAGAGAGAGAGAGAGAGAGAGAGAGACCTGTAAAGTTTGTACACATAGTGCATACACGTGCAACTAAACTTAACTGCGGTGTTAAGCAACGATCGATTCTTAGCACAATTATTAGCGTATCGTCGACTACCTAGTTTAATCCTCGTAAGCTTTACCGATACTTCAGATCGTGACTCGCTTCGAGGGCGTCTTTTATTTATATATATACATATATATATATGTATATATATATATATATGTATATATATAGACATATACACACATTCTGATTAGTGAAAAACGCGAGAATGAATCTCAAGTGAGCGTGCCCGCGACAGATGCGTACTCGCGCGTCTTCAGCTGTTGGCGAAACACAATTCGACGTGCACGACGACAAATCGGCGATCCGCCGACCGGAGACTTCTTATCCCGCGTTCCATGCGCCGCGTGTCGAACAGTGGGAACTTGACGCGAACGTAATTTCTAGCGTACGTTTGCCGAGTTAGCATACTATTCATTGTAAAATACTAGGGACTTGAGAGAGAGAGAGAGAGAAAAAGAGAGAGAGGGAGAGAGAGAGAGAGAGTAATACTTTTTTTTTTAATAAAATTGTATTATCATTATACTTGGAGAATTGCACTCATGTGTGTATACAATACCCCTTTTGCTGGATTCTAGCTTTACTCTGCGATTCCGCATCGGTTGCTCCAGCAACAGGGAAATTCGAAACGAGAGAGAGAGAGAGAGAGAGAGAGAGAGAGAGAGAGAGAGAGAGAGAGAACCAAGGTGTTGCCTCATTATATCGTTCGCATGATCGTTTACTTTTATTTCATAACGTTATCCACACACACACTGTGGGGCCACATTGCTCTACCCTGCTGCATGATCCAAACTAATCGGTAATGTACATATCCGATGTGGAAGGATGGTGTATAAGCCGCGTATAAGCCCACCGATGTCGCAGGTAAGTGCAACAACATGCATTATGACCGTCTGCTTTTATACGCTTTGTAATTACGCTCATATCAATTGTGCCGTTACTCGCACTCGATTCGATCACAATGATCATGCCGGGACGAAGGATCATACGAGAAAGAAGAGACACTCGTGACCAACGAGTATCCTCGAGTCTCTCTCGCGCCTTATCTTCATCGGAATCACGTTGAATATCGTGCGATAATCTTTGTGTTCTTCGTAATGAAAGAAAAGGAAAAAAAGGGAATAAAGAAAAATCAGCGTTATACAGTCGCGAAAGGCATCTGTTGGAAAATATAAATAGTTGAACGCTACAGCTTTTGGAGGCAGCAGACGATTCACCGCTTTATTCGCTTCGAGGAACGTCTTCAGGAAGCGTTTAACCATTTGGGTCCATGTCTCTCACGGAGGACAGTCGCGCATCGATCCTTCCTCGAGTAAAATAGGTGGTATAGTTAATCATTTTTCTCGCGCGGTGTCCGCGTGTGATCGTCATGCTTGTCTCGTCCCTCTCATACTTGCCACACAATTCAAGCCTCTTCATCCCTGAAAATTATCCGATTTAACAAACACCGAACGGGTTGATGCTTTGTGTACGACACGGTACCGGATTAAGATCAGTGGCGGAGGTGAGGAACTTCAGCGTGGTGGAAGAACTCTCTCGGGGCGTCCAGCTGATTTCGGACGCTGCCGAGAGACGTTCTTCTCCCGCTCGAAATGCAAAAGTTCGTTCCGTCCGCGAGATCTTACCTTGCTTCACGATGTACGGGATAAATCAATCACATAACTCGGGCCGGCTTTCGGTTATCACGATTAATAACGAGATGATCCGGGAAAACACCTTGCAGAAATCTTCGTTCAATTATGCGGAGAAAATCAGTATCAAAATTCAAGGCTTATATTCTCGCATAAACAAGAAATACGTAATTTTATATGAGGACAAAACTCACTTACATAAAGAAATTCTGTTTAGCTTCAATAAAAATATCATATTCTTATGTTATTCAAGAGTAATCTTCATGAATCGAGAAGAAAAATATTGGATGGGAAGAATAACTGCAGTCTTCAAACTGATACAATTTTTAATTTGAAGGCATCCTTCTTCCTATTCGATACTTTTTCCTCCCGATTTGTGAGAGAATTATTCTTGAATAACACGAATTGGATATTTTTCTACGTAGAATCATGTAGAATTTGTCCGTGTAAGCACGTTTTATCTTCACGCAGGATTGTATATTCTCGCTTATTTATGAAAATACGAGCCTTGAATCGACACTAATTTTTCTTTCCGTGTAGCGGGCAGAGCAGCCACTTTGTACGGCGAATTCGTAGATCGCGTCCGCCGATGACGGAGGGACAGAGAATTGGGATCGTCATCGAGTCATATGATTTCGTCGTGTGTCCTGTATTTATTACAGAGAAAATAACCATTACCTAAGAAATTTTGTGACGCGTACGTACGATCGAATAGAGACGTGAGTACCGTCTTATCGTGTGCGGCAACTCGGCGTTAACCCGTTCCCGTCCTCCTGCCGAATGTTATAGGACATAATGGCGCTGTGCAACGGAAACTGCGGTCTCATATGCGACGACTCGGACGAGGAAGACGACTCTAGTCCCACGAATTCGCCGGTTCCGCCGCGGAGGATCCTGCCGAGTCCGCCGTTGCCACCGAGAAGAACCTCGCCCACGCCGAACAACCACCTGAAGAACGGCCGTCACCTGACCGTGCCGAAGGAGAACGCCCCGCCACCGCCGACGGTCACCGCGGTGATCATGAATTACGCCGATGCTCCACAGAATAACAAAGGTATCGCACCTGTAACACAACGGTGTTTACCTGGATAATTGAATTTTCCCGGTATCACCCGGATCAACCCGGTTAATTTCAGACGTTACAAATTATTGATTTTTCCAACGATGACAAGTAACAAATGAATTTGTATAGCACACGGAAAGAAATTAATATCAAGACTCATATTCCTATACCAGGGTGTCCCAAACTGTTCCCGGGTTCAGGTAGAAAGGGTGAAACCGAGCGGAAAAGTCACGTGCCATTTCGCAAAATTCGCAATAATTAGTGAGGAATTAATTATCTCGTCTGAGCTAATGAACACATCCCAATGTCCGGAATATTTCAATAGGATTATCTCACGATATATCCTCACTTATACGTTCAATATTATTTTCGCTTACACAGGATATTTGAACCTCAAGCCGTTGCTAGATACAACAGCTGTCATATACTTGTAAATCTCGCCATTCTAAACAAAAATATCTTTCATCGATTTGCAGTGAAAATAACAAACGAATTTTTGAGTTATTGATTAAAGAAGCCTCTATGCATAGCCCATTTTCAATCATTAACTTGGCATTTTGCATATAATTTGCAACATGGTGGGGGATTTTTTTGTTCACCTCAACTCCTTCTATGTCTTCACAAAGTTTGTCCTGTCTGTGACGTCTTGTATACGAGAATATCAGTCTTGAATTGGCGATTTTTTTGTACAGAGACTCGTTACTATTTTCTGATCGGCCAGGGTAACATCCGTAAATATGGGTGTTCGAGTACCCGAGTAGTATTCGAGAGTGCGTATACCCGAGTACCGAAGTACCCGGATGACATTGACTGAGTTATGCGCCGCAGTTCCGCGGTTCTCACCGAGCTGGCCTCTACGTTGATTCGCAGTGAACGCGGAGGCGAGGTACGACATGCTGCATCGTGCGTCTTCGCCGTCACCGGTAGTGCCGCCGATACCGCCGGCGCCGTCGGCAACGGTGAGGGCTCGTCGCTCCCACGGGAACCACACGAGTACGTCGCAGCCACCGATGTTGCCGGAGAAGCCGTGTCGCGCGACCAGCTCGACCACGGGGAATCAGACGAGCAACCCGAGCAACGTGCCGCCTGCTGTACCGCCGCCCTTGTCAGCACCACGACCGCCGAAGGCCAGCAAGGAAGGCGCCCGACAAGATCACCATTACGAGAACACGATCGTGATACCCGGCACGAGACAACACGTCGTGAAGAATATCAACCTGGAGGCGAACAGGGCTCGTTTGACGGCCCTGATGCGGGCCAGAGGCGACCCGGTGAGCGGCTCGCCGGTGACCAAACCGGAGTCCGCGGCGTACGAGAACGTCAACGTCGAGCACATCACGAGACTGACGGCGCTCGGATTCGCCCAGGACGCCGTCATCAGGGCGCTCGGTATTACCAGGAACGACCTCGAGATGGCTTGTGACATACTGCACGAATTCGCCACGAAGTCCTCCTGACCAGGTACTAATGGAATAAAGCCGGACTGTTAGACTGACAAATCCGTCGGGAGACTATTTATTGTACGAGAAAAGAAAAGAATTCCTACAGCTGAACAGGGAATAGATGAAAATTTTGTGAGGAGGTAATGAGAACTCTCGACGGCGAGAAATGATATTTCATGGTTCCTTTTCCGTTCTTCTCCGCTGGCTAAGCTAATTCAAGAAGCGTGAAACTGAAACGTTTTTTATTCCAGTGCCGCGAAACTCCGATATCAAAGGTATGTTTTCTAATTCAGTTCAGTTCCAATACGAGAATAGAGAAAGAAATCCCCTCTGTCACCGTGACAGAAAACACTCGTGTGAACATTCAGTCGCATTGAAACTCAGTTCGAACAACCGAGAGAAATTGAAACCGAGAAGAAACTTCCCAAGAAGAATCTTTTCTCGCAACTTCAAGTTTTCATCTGATCCCTAAGCGGAGGAACGTTCACCAATGAAATTATTTCCCCCGTGTGTCAGTAAAGTTGGTCGACAGCTTATTTTTGTTTCGAGCAGACACGTTGAATGCCATCGACGCTAATAATATTACCATGTTTCGTTAATTTACATGTAAAACGGTATCTGATTGCGTAGAACAAATCAGATACATAGTCGAGCCAGCAAATGTATATTTCGTGAATCGTGCTTATTTACCGTATCTCTCACGATTCGAGCTGTCAAATCCGAGCGTTGGAATGAGTCAACGTGTGGCGATCAACGTGTTGAAGCACGTGGCGCAAACGTCACTGTTAACACTGACATGTATATAATAAAATCTGTCGTAGGGCCGAATGCCGAGGTCTCATGACCGGCCTTACCCGCCAGACGGTACTTTTGACAGGGAACACACGCGGAGTCCTGCAAGTCCCACCTCTAATGCGTTCACAGACACACATCGCGTGTTTTCGCGTAGTCTCAGTACCGCGTCAGTACATTACCGAGGACTCGACGGTGCCCAGTTTTGAACCGAGAAACATTGCGCGACGATTCCAGTTGCAGGCGGGTGAGCCTATCGAGAATCTAACGAAGGAAAGTCGATCGGGAGAAACCGCACACTTCCAACGAGAGAGAAGAATTTGTGGAGTAAGCACGGGGAAACATCCATCGGACACATATGTATCGCATATACAAAGCGCACACACATATACAAACATATACACAGAGAGAGAGAGAGAGAGAGAGAGAGACCTCGTTGCATAGATTCCACGTAGACATTTCTCTCTTAGCACTCACTCAGTGCGAGTCTGCGAGGCGAACTGTAAATGAAAAATTCCAAATATTCTCGTTTCTTGACACGTACAAAGACTGGCCGTTCCGCTGTGACGTGTGTGTGTGCGTAACACGAGTGTGTTAAGTAAAGGTGACGATCGACCAAGGGTGATTTTACGGCTGCCGAAGTATTCCTCCACGAGCTATATATATATATATATGTGGCAAGTAGTAATAAATCCTACTTCTTTTTTTTTTTAGTACCTCTCGCTTTAGTTACTATATTTCGTTCCTCAATATACTTAAGATAGTGATTAAATTGTGCGTTTACAAAGAGAACTTGCTTGTACGCTGACGAGATGAAATAATAGACGGAGAAAGAATATGTGAGTGAGTGAATGAGTGAGTGAGTGAGTGAGTGAGTGAGTGAGTGAGTGAGTGAGTGAGTGAGAGAGAGAGAGAGAGAGAGAGAGAGTGTGTGTGTGTGTGTGTGTGTGTGTGTGTGTGTGTGTGTGTGTGTGTGTGTGTGTGTGTGTGAACGCGTATACAATATGCATCGCGCGCACGCACATTTCAATGCGGAAGCGCTCCTCGAAAGTCCTCGGCCGCCCGATTTTCCATATTTTGTATTATAGCGTATCTCACGACACGAGCGCGTGCGCGATTCCCGCGTCGGCGCGTTTAGAAACGATACATCGTAATCCGCAAAGGCAATACAATATCTCATCCGAATCAACATTCATGCTGCGATAGGTACATCACACCATCCGTTCAATAAAAAAAAAAAAGATACACTCTAGTTACATCGCATCGGATTCGCTAGACTTCGGGAATATATTATATGTACGACGTTCTTAGTGCTGACCGAAAGTATGTTAGACGAAAAATGACTGGCATCTAATTTTGTAATTTCCAGTCTGTAATCCGTTCTCACGTCAAGTTGAATAGTCACACACGTGTGTGTGTGTGTGTGTGTGTGTGTGTGTGTGTGTGCGTGCGTGCGTGCGTGCGTGCGTGCGTGCGTGTATGTGTGTCGCTATTTAATGTATATTATGTAATGTCCTCCATATTAATATTGCGTGCTTATATGGCGCGCAAGATACCTCGGAGAGGATTAGAAATAACACAATTACCATTCAGATGTATAAAATTGTTACTGTACATTTCATGATTTCCGATTTTAGTTCCCCTGAAAGGGGGGAGGGGGAGGGCAAGGGGGCATCACGAGTCGAGGCAGTAGGGTTAGCTTTTGAGACAGGAGTTCGAGCGACACGCGTCTCGCGTGTCTCTCCTTCGCTCGCACGTGGCGAACGCGCACACGTTCGCAGGGCCGTATCTGCCGAGTGTATTGCTTAGATTCGCGCGTGTGAACACGCGGTGTTCATATGATCACCATCGATTCGATCAACGTAGAAAAAGAGATAAGATAAATTATGCGAAGTAGAGATGAAAATGATGTCACAAGTTGGAAACTGCGACTAATCGTTCAATATCTGCGCACGACGTGTCGATCAGCGAAGCTAACAGTTCCGCAGCACCGATGACTTCGAGTTCAAAGTGTACGCGTGCGCGGATTCGGGGGACGAGTTCATTTTGATGTTCACGAACCGTGATATTTTGTCAAGCTTTTATTGATATCATACACGGAAAAGAGAACTCGGTTCCTGCGACTGAATAGGGAGCGGATGAAAACTCGACGATAGGAAATGACAACTCAATGACGAGAAATGAAAACTCAATGAAACGAGAAATTATATCTCCGTTACCGCGACTGAGAACCGAGACTGTGAATATTCGACCGTATTAAAGCTCGGTTGAGGCTGGGAACACACAATTAACCGAGTAAAAGCCTGGAAGAAAATGATTATATATGATTATATAAAATCATATATGAATTTTGCCCGTGTCTATGGTCACATATATAATCATATAGGTCTGTACAAGAAAAAAATGATGTCATGTCATTTAATTAAATGTCGATATCATGTACTGTTAGAAACACGAGTAGCCAGAAGCATTTACTTCGATTGTATTTGCATATAATTTGTAAATAACCGTATTTTCTCGTTGTAAACATATATGATTACAGTCATATACGGGCAAATTTCATATATGATCTTTTTTTCCCGGGAACCTCTAAATAGGAAGATTCCTTCTTTCTATTTCTACAACCGAGTTTCCATCTGCACAGTAAAAAAAACTTCATGTTAAAAACAGCCTATTGAAATTTATATGTTATATTTTAACATGAGGAATAAGCTAAAAAGTATATATTAAATACTAAAATATATGTTAAATTAACATAATCATCTTGTTAACATATTTTTTAACATATTCATCTTGCTAACATATTACTTTTTGACATATTCACCTCGTTAAAGTAACACGAAAATTTCAGCGGACCGTTTCTAACAGAAAATATTTTATTGCGGCCTTTTTTTCCGTGTATTAATATTTTGGGGGCATAAATCAATGGGTACGTTCAGAAAACGCAACTATTGTGCAGCCGTTGAATGATTGTTGTCTCTGATCGAGGTATTCTCTTAGATCCATGGCAAATCTAAGGGAATATTCCAATTGTGACAAAGAGCGCTCACTCAACCGTTGTTTCCTAAACGCAGCCAATGTCCCCGTGCGACCAACGTTTACGTGAACACGGCTCTAAAGCGGGACTAAAGCGGAGTCTACAATAAGAATTTAAGCTCCAAACCTTAAGAAATCGACCAATCACGATTGATTATTCTTCTATAATTCGATTGCAATTGATCAATTTCTTAAAGCTTAGAGCATCTATTGTAGACCGGAACTAACGTAATGCATTCAGACACGAGTCCGCCAATATTACAACCGCCGTTGAGATACACTGTACGTGTCGCTTTACGTTAACTTACACCTCGTAGATGTTCAAACACGCGAAGAAGAAGGAAGAAAGAAGGTGGCATTTCGCGCGACAGGCCGAGCTGGACGGCGAAACGCGTGAGTTGTTCGTGACGAAGCCGCGGTCGAGGCTGGCGTGCCCCCACGCTCGCGAAGTGTGTGTCGTTCGCATGACAAGACGATTAGTGTGTGCGCGCATGCGCACAAATCGATCCCGGCGTATGACGGTGCGCCGCGCGATACATACCTGTTGCGCGCCGGTCGCACGACGAAAAGTTAATTACCTACCTCGCGATTATACCAAAGGTTACGATGTGATCGTCCGATGTACGGGAAGCGAAACGACGTTTGTCCGCTGTCTCATACGTCTGGATGTCTGCGGTAAGCGTCGGTCTACAATAGGTATTTTAAGCGTTAAGTTTTAAGAAATTGACTAATCACAGTTAATTATTCTCTCCACATTCGACTGTGATTGATCAATTTCTTAAGGTTTAAAATGTCTATTGTAGACTGACACTTATGAGCCTTTAGCACAGATCTACAGTAGGTGCAAAGCGGGGTCTACTGAGAATTTATGGCGTAAGATTTAAGAAATTGACCAATCATAATTGACTTTTCTTCTATAATTCAACTGTGATTAGTCAATTTTTTTATCTCTTACGCCTTAAATTCTCATTATAGACCCCGCTTAAGCCCCGGTCCACAATAGGTATTTTAAGCTTTAAGAAATTGACCAGTCACAGTTAATTATTCTCTTTAAATTCGACTGTGATTCGTGATTTCTTAAGGCGTAAAACTTAAAGCATCAATTGTAGATTAGGGCCAATAAGCTTTTAGCCTTTTGCTATAAGCAATAAAATATAATGTACTTTCTGACGAAAGACGTTTCCCATGCTTCCAAAAGTCGTGATAACGCTTAAATCTTGGGAATTGCAACACCTGGTAGCGCTGGAAACGCTTTTTTCTAGAAATTACATTACAATTTAGTGCTCGGAGCAGGAGGCTGAAATCTTACGATACCTATCGTAGATCCAGCCTTAGTCCTTTGCTCTGAGCGATGAAATTTAACGAAATTTCTCCGGCAAAAGCTTTTCTCGCGCTGCCAAAAGTCGTGGTAACGCTTAAATCTCATAAATTGCGAACGTCTGTCAGTGTTAGAAACGCTCTTTGCTAGCAATTACGTCACAATTTGGTGCTACTTGGAGAGCAAAAGGCTAAAAGCTCATTACACACCTATAGCGGGGTCTACAATGAGAATTTAAGACGTAAGACTTAAGAAATTGGCCAATCACAGTCGAATTATAGAAGAAAAATCAATTTCAATCAATGATTGGTTCAATTCCTTAAATCTTACATCTTAAATTCTCATTGTAGAGCCCGCTTTATCGCAAATCCGGACTAAGAGACAATTTAACCCCTTTCATCGCGTTCTAAGATACACGAGCGCAGGCGAAACACGTCGTGTGTGTGTGTGTGTGTGTGTGTGTGTGTGTGTGTGTGTGTGTGTGTGTGTGTGTGCGCGCGCGCGCGCGCGCGCGCGTGCGTGTACCATATAATTAATTAATATATATATGCATATATATATATATATATATCCGTAAGTCCCGTTGAGAAACCTCCTCCCTTCGGACACTTCTCGAATGCACGTGTTCACGAGAGAGGGACGTGCGTGTCGTCGCGCCGATCCCACCAGGAAAGTTCGAGCGAGCGCGCGAGGTCGACGGAACGGTCTCTCGTCGGGGTGTGAGTCGTCGTCGTCGTAGGGAGAAAGACTTAGCGATCCTGCCGGACACGCGAGCCGACACACCTTGATTTCATTCGCTGCGCGCCCCTGTGCACATCACGCGTCAACGTCTCGCAGCCGCACCATCGATCGTTAGCGTCGGGAGAATGTTCAAGCCTTCGCCCTTCTCGGACCAGCCGAGGCCCGTACGAGGGTACATCCAGCGAATTTAGCCGTCATATTTTTCTACATTGTATATTCTGGTCACTGTGTACTATATAATGTACCGGGCGTGCGTGAAAGCGACCCGGCCGAGCGGTGAGAGAGAGAGAGAGAGCTCGGCGGTTTTCCCTCGCGCTCTTCGTCGCGCGTTAACGTTTCAAGATAATCGTAATTTGGTGCAATATATAAAAGTAGAAAGATCCGTAGTTCGACTCCTACCCCTTCATTTTAATTATTCGCTGTACAAATTGTTTTACATACTTCTCGAAATAAAAGTAACATGTCGTTTATAATATCGCGCCTTATCCTCATTGCGCTTACGATCATGCCTGCGCACACTCTACTTACGTACAAGCCGCCTGTCCGACGATACCTTCGCAATTTTCTCCTCCACAAAATCGTGACTCTTCATTGTACCTGCGAACGTATCGGTTCTGTGTTGAAAGTACATCAACTAAGCGCGTCAACTAAGACCGGTATTCATAGTCGGATCTTATATTTAAGATTTTAAATTTAAATTCAATTCGTTTTAAATTTATCTTCAGATGCCATACGGCTCGTTTCACTGGCTATGGAATATCTGAAGACGGTCTTAAATATAAGGTCTGATCGTGAATGTTCGGTTTGATTTTTCAGCCAATTCAACTTCTTTGCATTCAATGGAAAACCAATTGTCTATCGATCAAATGATCACCATCATAGTTGTCGACGATATCCTTTGTCAATATCCTGGCAGCAGGACATTGTCAGCACTGTTAGACTGTCTATGTTACACTTATGTGACGTGACATCACCATCGAAAATCAAATCAAACTTTGGACGATTGGATACATAAATTCTTTTTATGATTATAATCAAGAACCCGGAACCGGAACCGAAAGTCGGACCGTAAACCGTGCTGAAATTTTATAAAGTCCATAAAATCGGAACGGTTACATTTTTTTCGATTTACGGTTCTTTTCGATTCATTATTTCGGTTCTTATTCTGTGATTTAAAATAGTTGATTTTTTCATTTCGTAATGAAATTCTAATTCTCACGGAATCAACAGCACATTGATTGGTTATCACGACAAATAGAAAATAAACTTCAAGCATACGATATTGAAGAAGAGGATTAATAGAAGAAATAACATATTTTGGGATGAATAGAAAAATTTAAAGTACCGAAACCGGAAAACCGGCACCTTTATTAAATATTTTAGCGAACCAGAGCGTTATTTTCATTCGGTCCGAGTCCCTGATTATAATTAGTCGCTTTCGCACAGTTTATATTCGATCATATGAATAGATCTCAAAAACCAACCAGTTCGGATCACGACGTCAGAAGTGAGTAAATCATTCGACGTTATTCATCGTAATTTAACGTGGCCGCTTTTCGAGATATATCGAGATGCAACTACAACAAGTATATTTTACCGTACCTTGAAGCGCGAAATCACGACGACGATAGCTCCGTCTGCATCCTCTTGTATCTTCGTATTTCTGTGTCGCTGACGGACGGCACTAAATTGCGAATAGCGTCCAGGAAGTGGTGCGACTCCACGATAACGTTATCCTCGAGTTTACTCTCTTCGAGCCGACTGATCTTCTCGTGTTTTATGAGAGTCTCGCGCACAGCGTTCAGCCACGTGTTGGAGGAGACCGAGTACAAGTCTGCGCCGGTGAGGTTGTCGGGCAACTGATCGACGATCAGCTCCAACTCTCGTCCGTGCTCTCGCATTTTGAATCTACGTGTCTGCGCGCGCAGAACGCTCAGCTTGGACTCGCGGTCGGAGTGAATGCCGACGTACAGCATTTTGTCGAATCTCCCAGGTCGGAGCAGCGCGGGGTCTATGAGATCGGGTCTGTTCGTAGCGCCCATAATGAATATACTGCTGGACTCCTCGAGACCGTCCATTTCAGCGAGCAATTGAGACACCACGCGATCCATCACGCCGCCGCTGTCGCCGCTCCTACCTCGATTAGGCGCCAAGGAATCCAGCTCGTCGAAGAAGATGATGCAGGGGGCCGAGGCACGCGCACGCTTGAAAACTACAAGATACACAGCGCAAATGTTAATTCGCAACTTGACCAGGGCGAATGATTATTAATACGTTTGCCGTTGTATCCACTCGGACGCTTCAATTCGACGAAAGTAATTTTATATCATTAATTTCTCGCGCATAGAATTGGAAATGTGTTCTATGTCAATCGAATTGATTAAAATAAAGCGCGTTTTGCGGCGGGTAATTTTTAAAATGCAATTATAAAATACGACAGTTTTCAAGATATACAATCAAAAAGATAAAAGATAAGAGGCAAGTAAAAGTCTTTCATTATTACACAAGGTGATTCGTTTTAATCTTAGCAGGCAAATATTTCGAAAAATATGGAAGATATGAGAAAATGTTTTAGATAAAAGTTGTAGGGTTTGAAGGGGGACATAAGACGGCAACCTTAAATTCGTTGTATAGTCAAAATCATTTCAAGGTTAACTTCATTTTTTTTAATAGAATCATATAGTTTTTTTAAATATAAATCGATTTTATATATATAAATTATATATATATATATATATATA